CTGCCACCTGTCAAGAACTTTAATCCTAAAATGTTTTAGTAATGTGCACCCATGAACACATACACACTGAATAATTAAGCATAATGCAGAGTGTCTCTTTCATTTCTGCACAATCAGTGTGATATTGATCGTATTTGTTTTAGGAAACAATCTCTCTTGCTCTTCCTCTCTTTCTCTGTAATTGGTAGAGTTGTCAGTTCTTTGTGATTTAACAATGTCTCAGCCAGTGATGGAGAATATGACCAATTCTAGCCAAGAGATGTTTTTCTGTATGTATTTTTTTTTTCCAGAGAAGAAGTCTGCTATTTTCCCTAGAATCATTGGTTCACCTTGCTAAGAAAAAAAAGCCAGGATTCATTGGCATTTTTTACTTATGGTAAAATACACATAACATGAAACTTGACATCTTAATAATTTTTAAGAGTACAGTTCAGTAGTGTTAAGCACTTTCACACTGCTGCGTAACCATCACCACTGTCCATCTCTAGAACTCTTTTCGCCTTGCAAAACTCAAACTCTGCACCCATTAAGCAGTAACTCCCCATTCTCTCTTTCCCTCAGCCCCCGGCAACTGCCATTCAACTTACTGTCTCTATGAATTTGACTACTTAGGTACCTCATATAATACTGGAATTCTATAATATTTGTCCTTCTGAAATTGACTTTATTTCACTTAATATAACATCCTTCAGTTTCAACCATGTTGTGGCATGTGTCAGAATTTCCTTTTTTTAAAAGGCTGAATATATCACATTGTGTGTGTTTACTACATTTTGTTACCCATTCACTGCACACCTGGGCTGCATGTAACTTTGGACTATTGTGAATAATGCTGCCATAAATATGGGAGTACAAATATCTGTTTGAGTCCCTACTTTCAATTCTTTTGGGTATATACCTGTACCTAGAAATGGAATCGTTGGGTTATTGACAAGTCTATTTTTCATTTTTTGGTGAACCACCATACCGTGTTACGCAATAGCTGTACCATTCTACGTTTCCATCAACAGTGCACAAGCATTCCAGTTTCTCCATGGCCTTCACGACATTTGTTATTTTGTAACTTTTTTTGACTTGATAGTAGCCATGCTAAAGGGTGGGACGTGGTATCTCATTTTTTAGTTTTCGATTTTCAAATCTCAGTTTTTGATTTTCATTTTCCTAAACATTAGTGATGAGGATCTTTTCCTGTGCTTCTCAGCCAATTATATATCTTCTTTGGAGAAGTGTCTATTCAAGTCATTTGCCCATTTTTTAATTGGGTTGGTTTTTTGTTGTTGTTGTTGAACTGCAGGGGTTCTTTACATATTCTGGATATTAACTTTTTCTCAGATAGATGATTTGCAAATATTTTCTCTCATTCTGTGACCTGTCTTTTCACTTTGATGTTTGTGTCCTTTGGTGCCCAGACATTTTTTATTCTGATGAATCACTAGCATTTTTGTGCTTCCACTTTTGTCTCCTCTGGCTCTAAGGGAGGTGGACTATGGAGGAAGGAGGACTGCCTCACGGCTCCAACAACAGGGGGCTGAAAGGTCACTGGAGAAAGGCCACTAAGTCTTACTGCAAATAGACTTTCAGAACAGTTTCAAAAACTCCCTCACTTTTGCTCTTCCATCCCCCTGAAGACATTCAGGCTGCAGAATTGATCTGATGATAATTGAATTTTAAGATGGCTTCCTTCCAGTTTTGAGGTTGTCAGGACAATCATGACAATTGCTATTGGCATGAAACCCACTGAGTGTGTAATGGCCACTCCTAACAGATCACGGTGAATGGAAAATGAATAGAAGAGAGGAGGTCTCCTTAGCATGCAGGGCAAGGCTGAAACTTTCGGAGGCTGAGAAGATAGAAAAATTATGGTGCTTCTAACCCAAAATGTATCAAAAGATAAGCAACAGTAGGCCATAAAATGAATCCAAAATGAATACCTGATTTTGCTCAAGGTAAGAGCTTAGAGTTTCCTTTAAAATGCCAAAATCCATTCTTTCAAATTTCTTTCTTTTAATTATTTCATTATATTTTGGGGTGCTTCTGCTTCACCAGTGCCCTAAACCCCTTTTTGATCCACCTATTGGAAAATAACATCTTTGCTATTATTGTTTTTCTTATGCTAGGCATTTTTGTGTATGCTATGTAAAAGAATAATTTAATCATGTCAATCCCATGAGGTGACGACTATTGCAATATCTAGTTTTACAGTGAAGGAAACCGAGGCAGAGAATAGTCACTTGCCAAAGATTCAAAAAATCCTAGGTCACAAAACCAGGATTAGAGCTTGGAAAGTCCGGCTCCAGAGCTCTCGTCCTGAAGTCTAAAATCCAACACCACTAGCTCACCTCCACAGCCTGCACCTGCCTGGACAGTTCCTCCTCTTGCCTCTGGCACTGCACCAGCCATCCTGAGGTAGCTCCTGAAATTTTCCACCCATTACATTCTTTCACCCTTCACGCACACCACTCCCTTTCCCCCTGCTTCTAGCCAGTCTTTACCTTGTTAATTTCTGCCCATTTAGGATTCCCTTTGGGCATCTCTTCTGTCCCACCCAGTCTGGGCTAGGTGCCCTCCCTGGCAGGTCGTGTAGGCTCTCATTGCACTTGGCCATATGGAATTGAAATGTATTGCTTGTCTGCTTCCCACAGTGGACTGGGAGTTCCTTGAAGGTAGCAATCAAGATTTTAAATCTCTATGTTCCACCCTAGCCAAGCACCTCGTACCTCGTAAGTGCTTCGTATCTGTTGTTGAGTAAATAAATAACGGAGAATCTAGACAAGGACTTGGCAGAGAAGAAAAAGGAGAAGTAACTGCCCCACTAGTGGTTTTCACCCTGGAAATGTTGTTACTACTCTGAGCACATAGTGAGCAGCTCACATCCATATAGATGAGCAGACCAAGTGGAATAGAATGAATGGCATAAACCTGACTTCTTTAGGCCCGATGCTGAGGACATGTGCCCTAACTGTATGGAGGAGACAGCTCTGTTCCCCATCAAAGACAGTGACAACACAGGTACATACACAAATGCATAGCACGGGTCACAGTCTTAAAAACATTACACGTGGCTGAGCAAAGTAGGCACCTGTGCGGGGTGTGGAGGACATATTGTAGCTCCAGAATTCCAGGAGCCAGTTCAGGGAGGCCCAGAACAAAGCGTCAGGGCCTAAGCCGGGTGCGGAGGGCATCTGCATGGGGCATGGGACACTGGTCATGACGGCAGTTGGTAACATTTGGAGGACTGAGCAAATAAGCAAATAATGTATTAAGGATAATGGGAGCCAGCCTCTGATCAATGTTAATGAAGGCAGTTACAATTGCAGAAAGGGAGTCTGTGGTGTTGGATTGGAATTGGAAGTGTGAATTTATGGTTTTCAATACATATAGATTAATATAGAAATAAATAGATACATAAATAGAGGAGGAAGCTGGGATTCAAAATTAGATCTGTCTAGCTCTTTTTACCATTCTTTACTACGGCCCTCTACATAGGCCCTCTGCTGTGAAACCTCTGCCCCCTTCTCTGTCCCCCCAGAACCCCAACCCTAACATACACACACTTAGAAGATTCCACCCCCATGGTCTCAGAGCATGCCTCACACCACATGGCATTAGTTGCACACAACTAACTCGTGAGGTTTTGATTACATTGAGGGTAGGCCTCCTCTTACCTGTGTTCCCTGTATCTCCCTTGGAACCAGGCACATGGCCATCACAATAGCTAGTATTAATATTTACTGTGCATTTATTATGCATCAGCAAAGACTTCACGTGCATAATCTCATTTACAGCTGAAGACAACTCTGTGAGGGACATGTTACCATCATTCCCATTTCACATATTGGCAAGGTGAGGTTAGAGGGGTTAATCGAGGTATGCCAAGATGCAGGGCTAGTGAGAGGTAGAGCCAAGAGTCAAGGCCAGACGGTCTGATTCCTCAGACTGTGCTCCTCGCCCCTCGGCTCTGCCGCCATGGACTAGGTGCAAGTAAATGTTCACTCAACAGATCCCTCCCGGGGACTTGTGTTTCTAAATGCTCTCCCTCCATCCGAGTCTGCCCTTCATGCTGAGCTCATTTGAAGCTCGCCTCTTTAGGGCAGCTCCCCATCCTGCTCTGAACTGCTGCCTCAGTGCTCCTTGGGCACAGGGCTTATGTCGCACCCTGACAAGTGACCCAGTCAGTGTTGGAACAGGGAACATAGTTTGTCGACATTTGTTGAACTGAATTCAACGCCCAGGAATGGAAGTAAACAGGGATACATGACAAAGTGGTATATTGTACAGGATACTGTGGTTAACTATTTCTGGATTTTCCAGAAGAGTTCAATTTCTAAAATTCCATCCTCTCATCAGACCATTTGTCAGAATACAGGGCCAAGAATGTAGTCTGGAATCTTGTTTAAAGAGTAAGGTCGCCATTCTACCGAAGAGAGGCGGGAGTGAGCACGGGTGTGCTGCTGGTCACCCCAGCCCGACACACCCGTGGGCAGGTCACAGCTCTCTGAACCTCTTTATCCATGGGTCAAGCTGCAGTGCAACCTACTCCTACTGCAGAGTGAAACCAAGTCTGTGGGTGATGTGTTTTAAGTGCTGATGAAGAATAATGTCGCGTAAATCCAGTTACTGCTAGTGAGATTCCTCACGGTTTCACTGACCTGTCTGGCAAGTCATTTTCATCTGTGAAAGTAAAGAAGCTTTTAATGAAGACCACTGCAGAAAAACAGGGTATAAAGAGAGCAAATGTTCTGAGGCCTTTCTAGTGTTTTGAAAAAGACACCCCTAGATATTTCCATCTTTTAGACTCTCCTCAATTTGATGCATGTGTGTGTGTGTGTGTGTGTATGTGGTGTGTGTGTGTGTGTGTGTGTGTGAGAGAGAGAGAGATATAGAGATAGAGAGAGAGACAGAGAGAGAGAGGTGAGAGTTGGAGGCTGAGTGGGCAGAGGTGAAGCTGTTTTAAAAAATTGCATGAGATTCTACCTGGTGGAAGGACAAGACCATCTTACCTTTGCTGTATCGCGGATCAGTTCCCAGCTGTGTGAGGTCTCAGGCGATAGTCCTTTTGAGAGCTGAGCTTTTCTGGCTTAGCAGTAGCTCAGGAAATTTTGCTTTCTCTTTCCAGTGTTCTGTGCCCCAGCTATGAATAAAAATGGCTCTACCTTTTTACATGCAGGGGTTAACCAGGGCATCCTCTGCCCCTTCTGCAAGGCTTTCGGTAGAACAGATCCATAAATCTGACAACAGTTATGGGGAGAGTCAAGGAAGAGCGGTCTGCAGAGGAGCAGGCATTACCATCAGTGACAAATGTGTTCTGGTTTGGATGGGGCCGAGACACCCCTGAACTTCCTTCTGCTCTTGCCAAAAGTCAAGATCCTTTTGTTCACCTTTAGGGTTGCCAAGTCAGGCCTACCTCGCCCCTCGATGTTGTTTCCTGCGGGCAATGGGAAAATGATCTTGGAGCCAGAGAAGGGAAATCAACAAGGAAATAAACACAGGGTCACCACACCTTCAGGCCATCAGTAGGTCTGGAACATTATCATGCTGGGAGCAACTCCTCGATCGGCAGGGGCTGCTGACTGGACAGGCCCTAGAATCCTGGGCATCTTTTATTTTTCAGTATGTAAAGGGGCATGCACTAAAATCAGTATCAGGCAAATAAGTAGTTCTGACTTGTTCTAATATCTTGCCAAAACTTTCAAAGGTTTTCCATAGGCAGTATTGCTCATAACTGAACATTGCCTAATGTTTGTAGACAAAAAAAAAAAAAAGACAAGAAAAGAATGGGTGTGTTTGTGGCTGATACTATTTAAGACTTTTAACTCCAAAGATACAGAATTACTGTTCAAATAAGTATTTCTTCTGCTCATTCTTCAGCATCATCACCACCACCATCATCGTCAGCAGCTGCAGCATCTTTGCTAATGTTTATTAAGTGCTTACTGTCTACCAGATTCTATAGTAATTACCTGACCTGCATTATTTCATTTAATTCTCAACAGAATCCTATAATTCTCACTCCCATTATATAGTTAAAGCAACTCAGGATTAGAGAGATTAAGTCATTCCTGCAGAGTGACCCAGCTAATTAAAACTGTAAACGTTGCGATTCTGGAAATGTGCTTTTCTGAGCTTTGCTTTTCCCTCTGGTTGGCTAAAGCACCACTGTGGGCTGACAGCTCCAGTGATGACCAAAGATTTTGCGTAAATAAGCGATTAGCTCTGGGCATCAGATTCTAAATAGAAACATAAATAATTAGTGAGTTAAGTCGTCTCTTTCCAGAGATGTGAGTCGAGAAGAAGGACACAGAGAATTCAGGTACTTGTGGCTCCATAGTCACAGGTGGTGCTACTGGCTGCCGTGCCTTCAGCTCTCCACTGTGACTGATTTACAAACAAGGAAGTGCTCTGCAAATCCCTTGGCCTCTGTGTGCATTTTGGTCATGGCCTGATTGCTACTTTGTCCTTTTGACTTTCAGAGTCAAACCGCTACAAGTTTCTTTTAATCAATAATCCAGGGAGTGAATGAGGCAAAATGACCAGCCTGGAAACTTCTGCCTGGTGAGATGAAGTCGGCACATGAATTTTGGGTCCTAAGGTCACACTTCTGACTCTTTTTGACTCTACCCCGAATCTTTACTTTCGATTTGGCTCCAATCCTAATCTTTACTTTGAAAGAGAGCTAGCAGTTAGCTCTCTCGTGTCATGGCAGTTACCCAGGGCAGCTGGCAGCTGGTTCAAGGACGGTAAAACAGTTAGTCAGGGGACAAAATGATGGCCCTCCAGTGGGGCCCAAGTTGTCTGTTTTTATAAACTTAAGAGTTGTGACATCGGGGCAGCTGCACACACTTGTCGCCCTTGGATTTGTTTGGTGACACTTTGGGGGTATTTTGCCCTAAGGCTGCATGAGCCTTTATACTTGAGGTTGGTCAGTTTTTTCTTCTTAATAGAGACTAAAGACTTATTTACTGGAGTTATGGTAACAAAGGAAAAAAGTCTGGGCATTTAGTTATCATTTCATTGTTTTCTCCCAGTGATTTATAGCGAAGCGCAGTCTACAGATAACGTTTATGGACGCTGGGCTTGGAGTTCTTTAATGAGGAAGGGTAATTTCTAATCGTCAAATGAGCCTTTCAACCGTATCACATGAAATGAAAAACCAAAATGTTGGAAAGGAGCTGATGTAACAGAGGCTTTCAAGCTCCTCATCTGCTTCATGGCTTTTCACCAACAGGAAACAATGACAGCAGATTTGGGGACCGTTGTAAGCTTTGGGGTTTTCCATTCGGAAAGGTAAGGTCAAGGGATTTTATTTCTCCTTTCTCTTCTGTGAGCATCTGGATTAGCACTGATTGATTCGGTTCTCAGAATTGAGTCCATTCCGAGACTGACGACACACACACTACCTCCCAAACCTGTTTTTTTGCACGGTCATGTAACCAAGGCAGCTGATAGTTTAAAACTGGAAACAGAGAGAAGTCATGAATGAAAAGCAGGGTGTACAATGTGCCCTTTCCAAAGCCAGGATGACTCATTGCCTGGCGGCCTGCAGCATGGAGGCCTGAATCTGCTCACACTCCATGGCTTTAGAGAGTCATTTCCATTTGGTGTGGGATTTCCAGGTGAGAGACAGGCTCCAAGTCAGCAGAAATCGTCCAGCTGGAATTAAAATCCTCGTCATTATGAAGCCAACACAGCTTCACTCTAGAGGGGAAGATGGCTTATTTTCAGCGTCCCGGAAAAGTCGCAAGTATCGTACCCAGTTACATGCAGAGAAAGCTTCCTCATTGTTGCTGCATTTTGAGAAAGCAGCAAAGGGACATTAAATCTGGGAAATGTGAAATGACAGTGGAGACAGTTTTGCCTTCTAATTATGATAAAGAAATCAGAACCTGAGCTAGCCTCTCAGGTCCGTTTTCACTTTAATGAGATGCTCAGGGTTAATATGAATTTATTTAACGAGAGGGAGAAAATGGTTTCTTTGAACCATTGTAAACTAGTTGCTTGCCTTTCTCTCCTCTCACGGTAAACCTTAGTGTGCGCACAGATACCTACAAGTGAGGGAGGCAGTGAGGAATCCAAAGCCCCACCCCAAGGCTTCAGATATCATTCGTCTGCCAACGATCCTCATATTTGTGTCTCTGGCCCAGACTCTCTTCTGGGTTTCCAACTGCATTCTCAGCATCCCACAGCCATTCAGCATCTTCTCTTCCTGCCTCGCCTCGTGTTTTCCCATCTCACCCGTCCAAACGCAGCAACCTGGGAGTCACCTCTACAGGACCCATCCCTCGAGTCCCACATCCAACCCATGTAGTACATTCCATCAGTTCCACCTTCAAAATTTATATCCATTTCAATTACTTCCACCTTCAAAATTATATCCATTTAATTAGTGCCCTCTGTTTCCACTCCCACAATGCTCTGGGCCTCTGTTACCCTCACCCGAATTTCTGCAGTGCTCTCTTCACGAGTCTCCCTGCCTCCCTTCGTGTCCCTAGTCCCTCTAGCAAATCTGCACCGCACATTCCAGCTGAACTAGACTTTTAAGAGAGGAGATCAGATCATGTCATTAACCTGTCTAGAGGCCTCAAGGTCCTCCACTGCACTCAGGACGAAACACAAAACCCCTGGCATGGCCACCAGGTTTGGCTGAATGTGCTCCCTGCTCCCTTCTCCAGCATTATCTCAGCGCTCTCCTTCTCAGTGTATCGGGCCACAGCATGCACCACTTCTGGCAGGGTCTTTAACACACCCAGCTTTTCTCCATCTCACAGGCTTTCCTGTTCCTGGACTGGTCTGTTCCGACCTCTACTCTTTCCCTCTCATCCACAGACTATCTCTTCCTGCCAACTCTGACTCATCTTTCAGGTCACAGCTCAAAAGTCATTTCCGAGGGACAATCCCCAACCCTGCCCCTTCCCCTCATTTCCTTTGTAGCACTTGATACTCCTTATAAGTCTATTATTTATTTGCCTATTTTGCCTGATAGTTATTTAACTTATAATTTACTCACTTTTATGGGCCCCTCCCTCCAAAACAAGGTTTCTTTATATGCAGTCAGGAGCTAGGTCTATTTTGTCCACAACTATATGTCCAAGGCCAGCGTGCTACATAATACATTCTAAAATAACCAAAATGCTGAATGAAGACAGGAGTAATTGAATGAGATAATCTTTTTTCTCTCAATTCAGGTCACTTAAGGACCCTGAGTTTCTTAAATAGTTGTTGAGAAGTACTCACATGTTCTGATTTAGACACAGATCAGTTTTCCCTGTGCAGATGTAGAGAATTAGTAAATAATGGTGGTCTAGAGAATCTAGATTATTTAATTTAATCTAAATTAATTAATTTATTTATCTATCAATGAGAGTCCTCTCAGAGGAATCACTTTCTGTTGCCTCTGGGAGCGCTGTTCCACAGCGCAGAGAAAAGAACGGGTAAGAACCAGAAAACAGAGGCTTCTGGCTTTCCACGTTAGATTTTGTAATTCATTTTCCGTGAAAACAATAGGGCCAAGTGGAAACTGTACTGTTATAAAAACTTCTGGTGGCCAGCTCTGGGAAACCAAACATCGTTTAGATTTAGAACATCAGTTTATGGGAAGAAATGTGTTCCAAATTCTAACAACCAACATACCCTCCAAAAATGACTCGGAACAAAAACTCTAAGTGGGGAGTTTGCCTGATTTGTGTTTTAGATGAATTTGCAAAAAAACTGTGACTCATCACCAGCCACACCCTCCCCGGCTATCATCTTAATTTGAGTTCTGGTTAGCATGGGTTGGACAACATTGGGAATGCCTCTGAGATAATTTATTCACACAGGGATTGTATCTATTTGCATTGAGGCAGCGCGAGGAAACACTTATTTTCTTGTCCATATTAGGAAGTAGCTTCCGATCCACCATCACTATTGGACCATTCCCACGGCCTTCCCCAAGTTCCTGAGTTAATCCTCCTGTTAGGAGTAATGACCAATCAGATTGGTGAGATCAGGACTTCCTGACTAATCTTATTGGTGAGATCAGGAGTCCCTGACCAATCAGATTGGTGAGACAGGGTGGAGGACGTCCTTTCCCGAGCCCCTCACCTGAGCACTGGGGGATTGCACTGAAAAAGCAAGGGCCTCCTTTTCACCCCTGCTGGATTCTGTGTGCTGAGACTTGGAGGACATGAAGCAGGTGGCTGTTCAGCCTCTAGTCACCCTGTTTTTTTAAATTAATTAATTTATTTATCTATCAATGAGATGGAGTTTCACTCTTGTTGCCCAGGCTGGAGTGCAATAGCACAATCTC